GCCCCTCCCCCTTCCCCAGCCCCTCCCGGGGCCCCGCAGCCCCCTCGGGGGTCCTGCCCCTTCCACAGCCCCTCCCGGGGTCCCACAGCGTCCCCCGGGGTCCTGCTCATTTTGCAGCAACTTTGGAGTCCCACAACCTTCCTGGGATATTGCTCCCTGGGAGCCCAGAGCATCCCACAGCATTCCCGGGTTTCCAGAGCATCCCTGGGATCCCACAGCATCCTACGGTGGCTCTTACCTCCATGTGTCTTCATACAGCCACGACCGCTGCAGGAAAGCATCCTGTGGTGGCTAGGGCTCCATCCACACTGAGATACCCGTTGAACAGGTTGTTCAGGAAAAACACACCATCTCTTGATTACTGGTTGGCTAGTCGGTGGCGGGACATGGCTCAGAGAGATGCAGAGCATCAGAAGCCCCTGCAAAATAGCTGGAATCTGCAAAGGGGAAACATAATCATAAAAAAATAGGCACTCGGGTCCCTGCCCTCATGAGCTGGCAGCGGGTCCCTGTTTGGCTCCGGGGTTGCTCGCGCCTGGGAGGATGTGAAAAGGGTTGGGTAACTTCAGAGTTACCCATCCCAGGCAAAAACTAAACTTTGAACACATTTACCTCTTCCATTATAGCTGTGCTGTGTCTGAATGTCCATATTAAATTTTAATCATTTAAAGACACATTTGCAATTATGTTAGAGCATAAGAAACTCGAACAATAACCAGCTTAAACTAAGGCTCAGTAAAGACTGACAGAAATCAGACAGCTGGCTATTCCAAGCTGATACTAAAAGTTATCTTAAAAATTCAAATACTGGATTGGTAATAATGAGAAATCAATTTAATGAAGCCAGTTAGTATTAATCAGTGCTGTTATAACAGTGATAGAAAAAGCATTTTACCTGAAATAACAAACCAAAAGTTCGGCATTACAGGACCAGAATGATGTGACTTCATGGGGACTTGCAACTGCAAAGCCGGTGAATTCCTCCGTTAGTCCTGACTGAGGAGTACCCAAAAAAAGGCCACAGCCTGCCCTTCCTACTGGGCTGCAGTCAACTGCCCGACTTCTCTGAAAAGTGTTGGTGCAATCCAGGATGCAGTCCTGTTAGTCTAATAAAAGCAACGTACAGAAGATTAATAAATAACTGATTTAAAGCAAATTAAATGATTGCATCGTTAAAATGCTGGGAAGTAACTTCATACTTGTGGTTTTCTATTCTTCATTTCTAGGGAAACAAGTCTTATGCAGTATGCAGCACCTCCCACAGTCTTGCTTGTCTGTCAGGCAGCTGCACCTCTGTAATGATAAATTATGGGCTTATCAGTTTTAATCAAACTTGACTAAGTTGAAAAAGGTCTCATATTCACTGAGTTTCTTCAAGTTGCCTGCAAAAAGGTAGTCAGGAATAGGAGAGAGGGCTGAGCAGTGCCCCTGCTATGGGAAGATGTACAGTGAGCTCAGTCTGTATGGACAAGGACAATCTCCAAATGCAAATCTGTAAGAGACCAGGCTTTGCTGCTTTTGCTCCACACGGAACTATTTGTTTAAAGAGAAAAAATAGAAGAAAAAAAAATAGAGTGAAACAAATCTTTGCTCACCTAAGCTGCAGTGGTAATTGTGGTTGCTCACACATCTTCTTGTCACTGTGTATTGTCTTTTACCTCTAATGTTTTATGCTTGTAGGTTTGCTGTTAGCTCCTGTGTACCCTGTATATTTAAAGATACAATGAGAGAGTCTCCATAAACTTGCTGGTCTTAAGAATCCTGTAAAATGCTAACACAAAGGCAAGATAAATACAGAGTGGAGAAAATCAGATGGCAGAGCTTTTCCGTCGCTCTCTTCTGTGACCCACCCTGGCCAGTCCAGCTCTCCCGATCCACGAGGGGTGCAAGAGAGGGAGCAGGTGCTCCCTGGTGACAGCAAAGCTGGTCCCTGAGAAAATCCTCATGACAGGTAACCTTATGAAAACATGTCTAGGCTACACATGGTATGTGTACATGTAGTACACAGGTAGCATGTGTAGCGTGTGTAGTTACGATCCACCCAAGAAGCAGCTAAGGTAAGTCTTAAGAAGGAGGAAAAGAGAGAGGCTGGATCCTCACTCGGGGCTGAGTGCTTGGCTTGCCTGCTCACCCCGAAACAGCAATTCGCTGAAGGAACAGAGCGTGCCAGGACTGGTACAGGATTACAGATAGCATGGCTTGGCTTCCTTTACAAGGGAAGGCAGCAGTAACAGCTTGCTGAGCTCCAAGGTCTTCCCTGCCCTCCCTCCCTCTCCCCACAGACTCCTTAAAAGCAGTATTTGGTTCAGCTATTATTTACTATTGCATTGAAAGGGTATTACTTGATTTACAAATACACATAATGTTATTTATTACATTTTTAAAAAAGCTTTTGAACAATAAAACTGTTGCATAAACATGGCTCAGTCCTCTCACCACCTGTTATTTACAAATATTTACTTTACATATTTTTTGTAATATTTCCCAGGTCTTCATAGTTCCTCATACTAACACACAGTAGCTGTAGCAACAGCTTCATCAGAGGAATTGCTCAGTCAACGCTTTCTCCGTCAGAGAGATAGTTCCTCTTCTTCCATTTTCTTACCCTCCCAAAATATCATTTTTAGAAAATCATTTTCAGCATGAAGCAATCCATTAATGAAGATCCATTAAAATTATTCCTGCAAGTGTTAGTGGTGAACTCCTTTGATTTTGTGACATTGCATTGGCCTTTGGGAACATTTCCTGATGTGTCCTGTGTTTTCACTTTTGTGGTTTTTTTTTCTTTTTTTTTTGTTTTGTTTTACATAAAATCAGAGAGATGTCATCATAATAATAATAAAAAACTCCATAGTGACTGAGGAATGTACTATGACCAGATCATTAATACTCAGAAACAAAATTAGCCTTTGTGGAATAGGTGGGTAGTTATTTGATTTTAGAAGAAAGAAAGAAAGAATGATCAATCTTAACAAAAATTCCAAAAGTAAACACCGTTTTAAGGAACGTGTGATCTTCTTGGCAAGTAGGTCTTGTTTTACGATAATGACCCACAGAAGCAGCGAATGAGAATTTCTTGGGTTTGTAAGAGAGTTGATTTCGTGCCTTGTCTATTCGGAAAGCGTGAGTTACAGTAACGTTCCTCACCTAAAATCCAAAAGGACAGTTAGGGAAGTGACTATGTGTCAACAATGATATTACAATGGAATTAAAACCATGGATAAAGATAAGAGGTGCAGAAGTGTACAGATTTTGGAGTCGGATTCTAACAGAATGAGTTGATGTAGCTGAAAGGTAAAGAGCCACAGTTCTCTGGACTGGGTGCAGGAGGAATTTATGACACAGATTTCTAATCTGCAGATTTCTGATCTGCAGAACTAATGTAGAAGCAAGCATAAAAACAGATAAATTGTGGAATAACTGAAAAGCTGCAGCAGAAGTTGTGAAGGTCCATTCAGTCCCTTCACTGTCCTTTGATGTTACATGCTACAACACAGGAAGAGACCAGATGGCAGATTAGTTAAAGCATTTTGGCTTATAATATAAATCATCATATTGTACAAAAGCATAAGTTAGATCAAAATTAATTTGTCCAGAGGCTTAGGGGTTGATTTTTTTTTTTCTTTCCTTCTAGAAAATTGACTTTTAATTCCAATTTAGAATTATTTTTAGTGGACTTCCTAATTATTGGCTAGCCTGGTATTATGATAATTGCTACCACTTTGACGCAAGACTCTTGCTCCGTACTCCTGGTCCACCTTCCTTTACCAAGTGGTGTCCCAGCACAGGACAGCTCACTGGAAATGACGATGTAGTGCCTGTGTTCTGTTTTGTGCCAGCTCCGCGTCAGTCGCTCTGTCTTGCACCTCTAGGATGTTTCTCTAGATTGTCTAATCTTCAAGTAAGGTTTAATTTCTGACAGTTTTATAAGGGGTGGCCAGGATGGTGTGGAAAAATCAGGCTACAAAATGACTGTGCAAGCCCTGAACAGACTACACCCTGAGCAGAAAACAGAGCTCTAATGCAGACAATCCTGTCTGCATCCAAAGGGTGTATCACATGCTTCGTGAGAATTTTGGTCAGAAATGTGTAAACATTCCCTCTTTTTATGTATTTACCTCATTCCTTGTCAAGAAAGGTGTAAACCTAAAAACTGGTTTTAGTACCAGGTGCAGATATTCCATCATGGTGGCTGTGAAAACAGTTACGGATAACAATGAACTGAGATAATACTGACATCGCACATCCTAGAATTCCTACTGATATCAAAGGATGCAATTAACGCAGGAGAAGGCAGTGTTTAATTTAGAAAGTACATAATGGACTCAGTTTATGAATAGCCTTTAAAGTTTATCTGGTATAATTGATGCCAAATGGCATAAACAATTACTATATTAATTAGAATAATGTTAAGTTCTATAATTCCTACGATTTCAGTCCCTGAATTTTATAAAACCATTACATAGCTTTATAGGAATAAAAAAAAAACCAATTAAAAAAAATAAATAGCACAATAATTAAGTATGTATTTTATTACTTCTACCTGCTATGTGAACCAGAAGAACAGGAATATGTATGCAGGGTTTCCTGTAGCCTAATTTTTCAAACCAGAAGGGGTATACAGGGAAATAGTAACAGAGAATTTGTAGGAAATTAGGGGTGTCAAGGAAACATGAAAATTGAAAAATGAACATCGATAAAACGTGTACCTAAACGTTTTTCCAGTTAATCTTCCTACCAACACTGGTAGTAAGAAATGCAACTGAAACCCACTACTCCTTCTTCGGTGCCCACCTCCCACCCTTCAAGTGCAATTGGATGGTAGAGGGGAAACAACAGTATTTGCGAGGGGTAAGTGACCGCGACTGGAATACCGAATTACATTTAGATACAGGCCCGTCGTTCTACTGCAGTCATTTCCCTGGAAGCCTTTTCTGTGTTGGCATTGCAGGTTCAAACCTTTAGCATGTTCCTAAGATCCCAGCCTGATATTTATGAAAATAGAATGTTGTCTCTTTAGCTTTTAAGATATGATTCTAAATGGCCTTGCCTTTTATGCTGCAGTTGATGGCAGAACAAAGAAATAAACAATGGTTAGAAAAGGCCTGCCAGATGCTAATAGTAGAACTGTTCGTGCACTGTCAGCTTGCTTTACAGAAATGCTACTGGTCTGTAGCAGGTTCTATACCTTGCAGCTAAATTCTCTCAAAACAGCAAGGGCCAAACTCCACAGCTATGCATATCCAAAGCTTCCTATAAAGCCAGTGGAACTTTGGGATATGCAGAGAGAACGGGGCTGACTTTAATGTTCAATAATTCAGCAATTGATGTGCACTGAACTTCATTTAGTTAGCATGATCTTTTAGTTAATGACATGAATAGGGCCCATATGGTGCATTAGAGCTAAACGTGTGTGCCATACATACTAAAAGGACTATCCACTCAGAAAACACTACCTTTTCACCATGATGTACGTAATACGCCTGACCACTCTGTCAAAGAAGCAGAGAAAAACAATTAGAAAAACCCTGTACATAGGACAGCATTTGCTTTCTCTCTCATACCTACCTAACCTTCTCGATGTTGTGAGTAACACACCAGCACGCACACGGTGAATGTACACAGATCAGCTCAACAAACTACCTTCATTGGTGTGGAAAATATGGCGGTTTCTTCTGGTATATATAAGTCTAGGGGTATTTCTTTCTTTGCAGACTACAATGGTATACAAAATAAATTATTTTAAAACAAAGAGTGAGAAAGAACATATGAACTGGCAGCTTCTCTTTTTTAAAGCGAACATTACCTTTATAGGAAAAGTAATCTTCTCATTTTAATATTAACTTATCGTTTAACATAATATTGTCTTTTGTTCAGCTGGAATTTTTCATCCCAACTATCTGCTATGTGCATACTACACACTGTGGTCACCAAACGTTTTATGATTCCAGTACCTGCAACTGTCATTGTTACAGTGTTCTCATTTACTTTGCATTTGCGGTTGCTTTGCATGCGAGACAACAGGTCAAATGAAATGATAACTGTGAGACTGCATTGACAAGTCAGGGTGGAATTACAGGAAGAAACAACACAACTTTAACACGGCGGCAACGAACATGCCCTCTCTCAGCACTTAGGTCTTGTTAGAAAAGGAGAGAGTTTATGCAGCGTTTGAAGGGAAGGAATACAAATGCATCATAAATAAAAATACCGCATTCGCTTGTACTGAATAAAGGCAGGTTTCTATATAATGAGCAGGGATGACAGCTTGGCTTCTTACATATAGGAATCCCAGAGAAAACAAAAAAAGGAGCTATTTATATGCAGGTTTTTAAAAGTTTATTGAAAACCAATCCTAATAGATTTCCTTTTAATTGAAAGGTTTTCTAACAGTCATTGCACTGGCAGACAGAAGTACAGATCGTCATTACTACTACATGGTTTGTTTTCATACCCAAAAAACATTGGAGTAGTTACGAGGACACGGGAGGTAGCTTAGGAAGGAGGTACGAGGAGGATCTGGTTTGCACTATGCCAGTCAGATACAATTTGTCACCTTTTCATAACTTCTACCAAGTTTCATTTACCAAGTTCCATTCACCTCTGCTGTTGTTACTAACCCAGAAATAGTAACATAATTACATAACATAACATAAAGCAGAACTTTCCAAGTAGGAAAGGAAAAACCCTCTAAAAGAGATTAAGTTTGTTATTTGCAAGTTATTTCTCTAAGAGTTAAGAGTGAGCCTTGGTACCACATTAAATGTGGCTACGATGACAGAGGCCTGAAAGCATGTAAACTTGCAGCTGACAAAGTCGGCCTAATCTACCTACCAAACTCTGTGGAGAGTTTAAGATTCTAAATGATGAAGTCTCACACTGTGTGAGTCAGGGATTATCAATCTCCTCATACTGTAGTTCCACCAGTGCATTCAACGTAGTTACCTAAAACCTAGATTCTCTTTATTGTAACAGAAACAGGGAAGGAATAGGGTATTTTCTGATGCCGACAGGTTTTTGGAATTGGATTTTCCTTTCTTCCTCTCTTCTTTTTTTTTTTTAAACTATTCAGAAAGCAAACATCTAATAAGCATCCATTTGAGGTGGTTTCACATAGGGCTGAAGTTTGATGGAATGAACAGGAGACTAAGAAACCCTCAGCTCACACCACCAGCAAGGAGAAGACTCCTGAATTCCTAACACCTACTTTAAGTCTGGGAGCTTGCTCAAGAGAACCAGAGAAACTTGCTATGCTCTGCCCACAGAAACAAATGACCAGTCTAAACCGAAACAAACAGCTGAGTGATGAGATGAGTGTTGGTGTGGGTTGCCATGAATTTAGGATTACACAGATCCATTGACAGTCTATAGAGACACTGTGTAATCGGAATTGTTTTGAAAGAGTAAAATCTCTGAACACCAAATACTATACAGAAAAAAAAAAAAAGGCTGCAAGTGGGAGGTGTGACATTGCAATCTAACACAACACACTGAAATATTCTCTTATCCACACTTGCAAAATCTGACGTGTGTTATTATCTTATTTCACAAAAAGTCTCTGGTATCGTTTAACATACCTGCACAAGTGCATTTCCTTTTAAGGTTCTTTTAAATGACCTTTATAAAAATATCAGAATCTATGCTACAGTATTGTGACATTTCTTACATTCTCTGAGGAATAAATATGAATCTCTTTTTGGCAATACAGAAACCTCATCCTTTCTACACGATTTACTGTTTTAACATTTCCATTAGTACAAATCCACTCATTTTATCAGTGACCATAACCTACTACTTCTATAACCCAAATAAAAAATGAATTAACCCTATTAACTAACAATTAACATTTTCATATCAAAGCATCTCGGCAGTCACATACATACCAACACATATACTAATAAAATCACAGGAAGTGATGCATAGCACAAAGCACCATTTATAACTGTGGTATTCCACAGTAGGCTGGTACTAACATAGAATGTGGGAGTCAGCTGGTACAGAGCATACAACATTAAAAGATACTTTTATGATAGAAATTATTTTTAATTCTTTATGGAGACAAAGCAGATGGAGGGACAGAAAAGATAATATCTCCCATATCAAAGTACATCCAATCATGCCCATCAGCTAGCACTCAGGAGATACAGCTGTCATTGCAGAATCCCTCATTAAAAAAATGCGTATTTCATAAGTCAGCTGGGAAAACGTATGCCTCATTACTGCAGTTAGCTTAAAATGGGTTTTCTTATATGGTACTGGCAATGTTTTTAACCTTTCTAGGACAAGAAATGTAAGAACTTAACAGAATTGCTTAGAAGACTGGCAGTGTCTGGTTATACAAAAATAACCAGGCTTTGTCAGCAACAAGGTAACACTTGTTTGCGTGTCAAATGATTTCTGAGTCATCAACTCTAAATCTATCTCTACTGCTGACATAAAAAACAAAGAGTCAAAATAATTATTAGCAAACTTGTTTTGGCAAAAACATTTATTCCAAGCTTTCTTTTTTGTACTAAGGTTATTTCTTGGACTTCCTATGCAAAACTGGCATAAAGAATTCTCCTTCTAGTATCCCAGCCATCTGTCCCATCTGTTAGGGATAATGAGCACCAGCAAAGAAGTCTCAAACCAGTGCCAAAAAAGATGTCTTGGACATACGATGAACTGATTGAAGCAATTATTAATATGATGCAGTAGAATAGAAGAGAAACAAACGTTGTGATCCTGTATTACTACTAATTATATTAGAAATACACTTTTAAAACTTGTATTAGCTATATTAAAAAATTAGGTAAATTGGAAAATTTCCTCTACTTATGTTTAAACTTTGATGAGTTCAGGGCTTGATTTACTTTCAGTCCTGCAAAGTCTGCAAGTGGAGTAAGTCCACAGCACTTATCATCTGTAATGTCTTCTCTTGCCAGAAGTTTAGAGAGAACAAAGAATACACCCTCCCTCTTTCTGCTGGAAGCTTTAACCACACTCTGAAAAGAGGCAGGCTAGGAGTACCACTCCAAACCTCTTCAGCGTCTGTCTTCATCTAAAATTTAATCCTACAAGACAAGCACATGAATAGTTTTTTAAATACAATTCAAATATACAAACTCACCATCACCCTTGACAAAATGGTAATGGAAAACCAATAAAAATTAACTTAACTTTCGATTTGCCTTACATGTTTAATTGTGCTACAATGCTGTGTACTTTCTGAAGTACAGTAACAGGAATATCTTCCTACACACTTTGCAAGAAATACAGTTTATGCTGGAAGGCTGAAAGACAGAGATGGTCAGAGATGGTTCTAGAACACTAGCCTCTGCCTGTACGTGCCTGTAACAACTTCCTTGCTACTACAGGATGGTTATGTATCCATTTCCTCTGCAAGCATCTCTCTTTAGTGATGCTGGATTCTGCACATACTTTACCAGGCTCCAGATTCCATTCTCCAGGAAGCAAGCATTCTTAGCCAGCAGGTCAGACTGGATTCTTTTTTTTTTTTTGTCTTTGAATGACTGGCCAACATTCATAAACCAAAATACAAACTACAGCTATAGAAACAGGATTTAAAAACCAGTCTCAGTATCTATCTGCCCTACCCAATCCCTTGATGAATAACTTGGCAGGCCTAAGTTCTCTAGTGCAACTCTGTAGTCATCTGCATGCCCACTTTTTCCCCTCAGACAGCTCTGTGACAAATGCTTCTGTCTTGTTTAACCCTGAGAAAGCATTTTCCCTTTTCCTGTAATTTTTACTTTGCCAATTTAAAAGCAGCATGTTGGCTCTGTTTAGTTTGACCAGCTGCCTCTCCCAAAACTTTGTAACAACAGTCCATTGTTTGCTGAGGCTGTCTTTAGTATTGGTGGGGTCTTTTTCCAGTCGGCCTTGTTAATTTAACTGATAAATCATGCAGCCCGTGTAGCAATTGTTATTACAGCCATTACATCTGGTCCTAACCCTCTAATGTGCTTAGCTGTTTGCTCTCAGAAAGAGCTAAACCATCAATAACTACAAATACACATCTGTCTCGCTCCTTTCACCCCAAACACAATACTCTTTGAACTGTTCTTTGTGTATATTAGGTTATACTGTGGACTAGGTCAGCTAAGAACTAAAGTCATTACAAATGTTTTCAATGTTGGAAAAAGTCACTGCTGGAAATGAATACATTCTACATTAGGCTTATGAAACATTATCCGTCTACTGAAATATATGAACTATACATAAACTACGATCTATTTCTGGCGACTATTTACCTGGGCACTTTTTTTAAAGCCTGAATTGTCCTTCTGGTTTATATTCCATTTCTGTAGTTGTAACCTGTTTGAAACAAAAATAAAACCCAAAGAATTACAGCAGCTTTTCACAGAGACATACAGTAGCTTTGTATCTCTGTTTAGCCATGTCCTTGTGTGACAGAAAATCTTTTCATTGAGAAGGTATAATGCATTTTAAAGCACTCTACAAGTACTTTTGCCTACTATTACTATCGAAATGGCACTTTCCGGTTCTGGATTGGCAGTTAGGAAGTGTAAGGATGAAGAAACATAAGGATCATTATAATTTAACTGCCCTCAATTCCAGTTCTAGGCAGGTATCAAAGCCAGCTCTGAATGCCACCAGAAGCAGCAGGGAATGGTGTGCCACTGTAGCCAATTCAGTTTCCAGAGATACAGATGGCATGCGGTGCCATAGCATGTACTGCTTCCAGGAACTGACTGAGCTCAATTTGGAGTCACTGGGATACCTCTGGCCTGGCATCACATCGTACTGTTATCTGCTGTATAACTGTTAACAGAAAAGGGAAAAAGAAACTTCATGTTGAGGGAGGATGCTGAAGACAGTATGAGGAAGAGAAATGGGAGACAAACCTGAAGAGTGTTAGCAGAACATTCTTACTCTATGTAGAGAAAAGTAAGCTGAAAATTACAGTAAAAAGGAAAGAGCGGAAGACACCGGACAAATTCCGGTGGGCTCAAGACTTAATAGGGAAAGGAAAAAGATTAAGAGTCAAATTATTTAGGAAAGCAGAAAAAGACTGAGCTTGAGAAGAGAATGATTTTGAGATCTTTCAGAGGATTTTGTCATATCTGTCAGTAAATCAGGAAATGTAAGAAGAGTGAAGAGAAAGGCTTAGGGAATCTTCACAGAAAAAGGTTAGTAGAAACTTTACAAGTCTTTAGAAGCAAAAAGAAAGGGAGATTGGTGGTAACTTGAAAAGTAAATGGGTTGAGATGGGATTTTTTGAAAACAGAAGGAAGACCTCACATTATTCTGTGCAGAGAACATAATTCTAGCAGAGAATAGATGATGATGCAGTTAGAGCAGTCCCAATAAGGTAGGATAGGAGTCCATACAAATTTGGGAAAGTAATTTACATTTCTGAGTAAGAAGTCATACTAAAGGAAAAGGTACTAAAAAGAACATTGCATCACATTAACAAGAGCCAATTTTCTCTTTTAATAATATACACGAAGAAAAATACATTGATTTGGCAGATGACAGAACTCAGCAAGGAGAAGAACAACTTAACTAATTTCTCTGTGATGTAAGAAATGTAGGAACAACAACTGAGAGAAAACAACAGCTCTGAAGTTTAATACATTGTTAGAAGGTTCTAACAGATCCTTTACTATGATGGTAGCTAATTGTGTAAGACCTTAAAACTAAATCCCTCTGAAGCAGACAGCTTGCTTGCATGTCATTTTCCAAGCCTCAAAAAAACGACTAAAATTGACAGTACAAGGAAAGAAACAGCAATTCTTTTTTAAATAGCAGACACCAGAAGTCAGATATTCTTGTCTTCTTTTCTTGAAATGAAAAAGCAATTATTTAAAGATTCTTGATAAATACTCACCTCAAAGATTTTGCCTGCTTTAAGAAGCTTCTAGCTTTTGCTACTTCTTGAGTAAGTTTCTTTAAATCATCTCCTTCAAAGTAAGGGAAAACCGGATCCTCAAAGCAGAATGAAAATACTCTACTTTAACTTGCAGCTTTTTATTATTTTCAGTTTCTACCAATTCAATTAACTGAGCCTAAGCTCTAAATCTCCCTACTCCTATCTACTTGCAGAAAAGGTCTTGTTCTTTCAAAGGGAGAGCAGAACAACTTTGGATTGAATAGGGTTCTGTTTGCTAACATATTTTTCTGCTGTGGCAATCCCTGAGGCCTCTTGCTGGAGCATCAATGTACTCAACACTGTATATGGATTTTACAATTACATAAATGAAATACAAGATGGTAAGGATAAGAAGGCACAGTAAAAGCTAAACTTAGCTTAAAAACCACAGTGTCCAGATACAAGATTTCTTTTGCTTCTCTTTCAAAAAGTATATTGCATTGTATACTTCTTTCATGGGTTTGGTCACCTGACCAAGGCAGCTAGCAGAGAGGCAAAGCCACATATTAAGATTTCTCCTTTCAGTTTCAGTGCAAAGTATCTCAGCAGTCTTATATTAGTTTTTCTCATGATTTTTTTTAAATGTAGTTTGACTTTGGCCAGCAGGTCGAGGGAGGTGATTCTGCCCCTCTACTCTGCTCTGGTGAGGCCGCAACCTGGAGTACTGCGTCCAGCTCTGGAGCCCTCAACACAAGAAGGACATGGAAGTGTTGGAGCGGGTCCAGAGGAAGGCCACAAAAATGATCCGGGGGCTGGAGCACCTCTCCTATGAGGACAGGCTGAGGGAGTTGGGCTTGTTCAGCCTGGAGAAGAGAAGGCTGCGAGGAGACCTGATTGCGGCCTTTCAGTACCTAAAGGGGGCCTATAGGAAAGGCGGGGAAAATCTTTTTAGTAGGGCCAGCAGTGACAAGATAAGGGGTAATGGTTTTAAACTAAAACAGGGTAGGTTTAGACTAGATATAAGGAAGAAGTTCTTTACAATGAGGGTGGTGAAACACTGGAACAGGTTGCCCAGAGAGGTAGTGGAGGCCCCATCCCTGGAAACATTCAAGGCCAGGTTGGACGGGGCTCTGAGCAGCCTGATCTAGTTAGCGGTGTCCCTGCTCCTGCGGAGGGGTTGGACTAGATGACCTCTAGGGGTCCCTTCCAACCCAAAACATTCTATGATTCTATGATTACTGATGAAGAACTAAATTGAAATGCAACAAAACCAAACCCAACAAAACCAATGTATTTAACATACATCATCGTCATCAAACCCCTCAGTCAACAGTCTGTGTGCTGCTAATTGTCCATCCATATCTCCAAAACTGCAATGGTAGCGCCCTCCTGTTTGGGAAGCAAGCTTCTTCAGAAATTCATTAGCTCCTCTGTTAACAACAAAGTAGTAAGTTACTTAAGAAAATTATTTCTCTGAAAGCAAGAACAATAGAAAAAGAATTTCTAAGAATTCCTCACAAAATATTGTATCAAAACAAATAGTTTGGAGGACGTGATTATAAACTTCTGTATCATTTCTAATAGTCAATTGCTAATGAAGAATATGCACGGCTTAGCTATCATAACCTCCAAAACCAGGCTGGTTTTGGACAAGAGGTTCAGTGTAGTGATAGAACCAAAAAAAGAAACAAACCAAGAAATCCAGAAGTCAGGCAGTAATATTTTACACAGGGGAAGAAACCCAAAAGCTGGGAGACTCCATGAAGGGAAAGAACATTTTGTGCATGCCCCATCTTTTGTTCTCTTTCCTAAGCCTCTGCAGTTATCCAACCATTGCGATAACTGGTACAGTTGCTACTATATTCTTATTGCAAGTATGCTAAATCACACACTTTTACTGCCATTTATAAACTGTTTCAGAGTCCTGTCTCCCAAGCACTAACATTGCAAAGTCAAAACCAGTCACGCATCCATTAATTTCAAGTAAGCTGCAAGGATTGATTCCATTCTAGAATTGGACACTAAAAATGTCTGCAACTACAGGGATGTGTATATGATAGACCTACAGGAATGGCCTCAGTGCTGCAGACTAGTGATGTATATGACTTCTCTGCGTGCAAGAAGGCAACTCCCTCACAGACATAAGTAATGGGACAAGGCTGTGGGGCAATTACCTGTGTCAGAACAGCCTTCCCAGTTCCCACATGCATGAATGTCTAGCTCAAACCTGGTGTTCAGTGAACCGAGCACGCTGCACATTTTGTTAACACAGTCTTTTGACAAAAAATAAGCTAGTAATTTTAAAGATTTTTTTGTTGTTCTTGCAAAATATCATGTACCTGTTTGTACAGCTAAAAGAAATGGTGTGGATTTTAATATCTTGTTTCTTTCTCAATCTTTCAATTTCTTTCAAAATCAGACTGCAACTGGAGTCTGGTTTGCCATCAGTCAATACATACAGTGCCTCTATATCTTGGAAACTGAGCGCCTTCTGAAAAGCAGAAAATAAGCTCAAATAATTGGTACATTTATATGAAAAGTTATACTTAAGAATGAAAATGCTATTCCAGTGATTTAAGATAGCTTTATATTTACCACATCTTTAACCAAATTAGTATTGTCTTTACCTTTTCACTGAGCATGAAAGAGATCAAGGGTATAAATTTGAGAAATAAACAAGTAGATCATTTGTTAGCATAAGGCAATATATTCATAAGCAGGGCATCACCAAAAACTGACAGCAAATTGAATGGTTTTGTAGAACTGCTCACAGAAGATTTTTACATCACATTTTGTGGGACTTGAAGATGCTTAATGTCTGAAAATCAGGCTCACTAGGACTTGGCCTTTTTATATTAGGAAAACTTCCTATGGTAATTTACTCAGTGGACATTTTTGTAATACAGACATGCCTTATAGTTCTACTGGACTAGATTCACCATGAATTCCACAAAATCTATAAGGAGATTCTGCAAGGTTGTCTAGAACAAGAATCATTCACTTAAGGCAACATTTCTCTTTGATTCAAATTTTAAGTCTTTCAGTCTCTGTTTTAAATTCTTATTACCAGTCAACTTCTACACTGAGAACTTTTACAGGAGGAAAGTTTCTGCACCTGTTACTAAAGGTCAAGAGTTGTACTCAATGCCAATGTGATTCCAACAAACACTGCTTATTTAAAATCCCTGTTTGGCTCAGAACAAATATATCAGCCACAGTTGTACGTAAGCATCATTTTGAGTAACAGGCTATTTTTCTCTCCAGTATTTTTTGAACACAAGTATTAATACAACTATTGATGTTTCACATTTTTCTTAAACTCAGTATGAGCAATAAATTCTAGTATCTATGAGGGGATCCTGGAGACAGGAACAGTGGCTCGATTCCAGATCCGTTCAGTGTTTTGCATATAAAAATGTTGCATGCTTTGACCAAATAATTTTCCTAAAATATTATCAGTCAGCTGGGAGTGTTTTATCACCACAAGACACAATGTCTTCTCCAAAACGTGGTACACAATTTACTAACCTGTAAAGCCATAAGGATGCATGTATTTCCATGAGCGTGGAATTTGGACACCCACTGCACAGCATCATGACATGTTTCATCAGTTGCCTCTACAAGACACTCCTTCCAACTCTCCATATTTTCTGCAAATCTCAGCAGGTTAAATCTGAGGAGAAAGATGGCCCACAACATTTAACCCTAACCAATTCTATCAGTCACTTCAGATAAGCCAGTTTTGAAATAAATACATACAAAAAAAGGAACCAAAAAACCAAACCAAATTAAAAAAAAAAAAAAAAAAAAAAAAGACCAAAAAACCAAACCCAGGAGCCTAGTATTAGATTAAGGTCTTCAGCTTTGGAAGAGTCCGAAAGCATATCTCACTCTGCATGAACAGAAAATCTATGGTGATGCTGAGCCCAAAAGGATAAATGGCATCAGCCTATGGCAAATGAGGCTCAAATCTTAGAAAGATCATAATTAAAAGTTGTTTAAAAAGAACAGAAAAAGCAGTTCATGTCACATGCATATTATGCACTAACATATAATAATTTCTTGTATTGTGTTTCAGTACTGTATTATTTGCAATTATTAAATAATCTTATTATGTAATATGCAGATTTCAGCCTTTATCAGTAGTTCACCATACCTGACTTTGTTTTTTCTCAGCTGTTCCCAGATAAGAGAGGCAAGTTCTTTCGTGATATGTGGCAAATATGGGTCCATAGAACCAGATGTATCAATCAAAACACAGACATTTGCTTCTAAAATGGTACCAAACAATCTTCGGCTTCCTGGGCCAGAACATTAAAACTAATTAAGTGTCATTATGTAGGCTTATTTTATTGAACATATTATTTTATTGAGCATACTGTAAAATTTTCAGTCTTTACAGGTTATTCTGGGCACATTTCTACATAATAAATTCTAGTTTGTGTAGAAACAAGGTAGTTCAAAGGTTAATAATAGAAAAGTCTTCTGCCATTTCAAGTCTAGCACTGTCAAGCATTAGTTACTAGCCAATTGTAGCAACTTGCATTAAAAGATCTGTAGCTCCTACTTCACAATCCAACAAAAAATTAAACAGTTTCCCAACAAAGATCTTTATGAGCAACAGAGGGATCAAAATACTTTTCATCAGCAGTAATGCTGAACTTTTAAACAGGGTACATTCTTAGCAAAAGAAACAGAAAAGCTAGTTTTGCTTGCATACGTTGTTGTATATATTCTGTTGATAGAAAGCTTCTGACACTAGGAATCTTGTATTCATGAACACAACATACAAAAAGGAATAACTTGCATCACAGCCCCAATTATTTCACAGGAAGCTAGATGTTTATCAGCTACATAGATGCTGAATTCTCTTGCATTCTTATTTTATTGTCACAAAAATACTTCTGGATTACTTTCATTCATATTTGAGGTCCAGATTTATGTTCAGATTTATTGTATTAGAAATAGTAGACAAGAAGATTTTATGTATGTATAAGTTGTGCTTTATAGAAAAACAGATGCACACCAATACCTGACAGAAGCCACTGTATTCTTTGTACATAGCGCTGCAGCACTTTCTCCAGTTGTTCAGTGTAGAGTTCCAGTTCCTTAGATTGAAACTGCAGATGTTTCACAACCCCCTGGAAAAAATCAGTTTGTACAAGAGCATCTTACTTCAGGAGATTTGAGCTCAGCTGCTATATACGCAATGTGTGCATTAGAAATCTTTTGTCTGATTAAGTTTTTTGTCTTTACCTCTATGAAATAGTGTCGGAAAAAGTTTTGCAACTCTGCTACTAAATAACTGGTTTACCCAAATTAGGAAAGCCTAGCCCTCATCTCAGTCATTTGTGCTGGGCAACAAAATTATATAATTTGGCTGGACAGGTGCAACTGTTGCATTATTTCTGACGGTTTTATAGATATAATAGAGCAATAATATCCTGGACTTAACTTTCCATGCTTCTCTCCAGTCCTTACACAAACTGAAACAATCAAAATCCAAAATTTTCCCAGTTTTGACTCACATGTGATTTTTAAAAACTTTACTTAAAATTTTAAAATTATTTTTCACACTGTATAAGCAGAGGAGATGCCATATGTTCTAAAGATCCCATGCAGTTTGCACTTCAAACATATAAAATATTTTTTGTGGTGAATAAAAGACCTTCTCTAGCTTCCTGATAGAAGTGTGATTTAGGAAGAACAAGGAAGAGTGGAGAGGACATCACACTACCGAGCCACAAACATTGATCAACATGCATTATCTTAAACAAATACAAAGCCTTTCAGTGATGCAGGCATATGACAGCTGCAAAAGCTTACATTGATTTCTACGCTAGGGAAGATAGTACAGTATTTTGCCGATACTTTCTTGTGCAGAGACTCCACAGTTTTCTTCTGGTGAGTACAGCCTGGACCAAACATCAGTCTGGGCAATTCCAGTTTAAGCTTTTTAATACTGTACTTTGTCAGCCACTTGTAAGACAAACAAATGGAGCAATTGGTTATTAGTAAATATTAGAGTAGTTTAAGTAATAATACACTATACAGAATCACAATTAACGTGTTCACATTAATTCATATGGATAATTGTAAAATGGCAATTTATTAGTAAAGAGCGAAATACCTCTTTGCTTGAACAGATTTCCTCTTTTTTTGGCAATGTAACAGAGGGAACAGACTTTCTTATGCACATTATCTTTGGATACTTTCGGTATACCATACCTGTTAACAAAATGAAATATTGGGAGCCCTAGGTTTAAATTATTGCCCTTTTGAATTACATATGACTGTTGACTAAAAAAAAAAAAACAAAAAAACCCCCCCAAACCCACAAACTAGCATTTCATACACAATTCCACATTTGAAAAAAAAAAAAAAACAAATGCAAAATACTTTAAAAATCACTTATTTTTAAAAATTGTCACCTTCAAAAAATTCCAAACCAAATCATCTTTAATCATCTAAACCACGATGACAGCATTTTTCCTTAGAGCATCTTTGATCAAAAGATCCCAAAGGAATTTATAAATTCTTTACAGAAAGAAACCAAAACACCCCCAAAAACCAAAACAGAGCCAAAAAAGCCAAACCTTACCAAAAAAACCCCAGCACTATTCGATAAGTGAAATTCACCTCCACTCACTATTTAAAGCACACTGAGCATGAGTAACTTAACATCCTAACAGTTTTATAACAAAACTGCTGATAATAAAAAGGCTTCAGCCATCATATCCTGACAACACGTACCCACATTTCTTCCTTTATCAGTATAAAATACTGACATAGGAAACTCTGGCTGCTTCCTTGGTTTATGCTTTTTTTTCCCCTCGGTCTGAGGCCATTCTTTTATTGGTTTTGCTACAAATGAAAGAAAATAAAAAATGTTGAGTTACTTCAGCTAGATAAAACTCTTATATGCAACCTGGTTCTTCAGTTCCTAATTTCCTATTACCACAACTATAAATACTTATTTTTCTTAGACATTGGTTAAGAAAAATCCATATTATAGAACTACTTATGCTACTGTCATAGAAATGGAACCAAAACCTTTATAAATCTATAAATTACCATCAGGAAGAATGTCACATGGCATAATTTGAATAGATTACGGGTTTACAATAAGCATAGTATTTGTTGGAAAAAGCCAATTAACATTGTCCAAAGCACCTCATATGCAAATATGAATCCAGATTCATAAACACCACTACATATCAACAATCTCATTTCAATAAATCAGTAGATATCAAGACTTAAATTTATTGCAAAAAAAAAAAAAATTGCATATGTTAGCAAAGATGCAAAGAAAAAACACAAGGAGGAGAAAAAAAATGGAGGAGAAAGGAAGTGGACTCTAAGGGACCGACAGTGACTGGAATCAATGTTAAGAGCTGTTTCGTATACCCGGAGCAGTTGCAAGAGTCAGCACTTCAGATAACCTGATGTTTGTGGGTTTTTTTCCTTCATTACTAGATCATAAATAAATCAAGTGGAACAACATATTAATTACAGTGGGAACTAACAGTATTAGCAGAAATATATATATTGAACTAATATCATAATAAATCTCTGAATTGTTGAGCCTTTGAAAAAAATGGAGTATGAATTGAAAACCAAGAGAAGTGAGCTTCTAATTATGGCTTGGGGCAAAACAGGGCTCTACTTTCCACCACAGACATTTGACATTTCCTGATATAGGATGGATATTCAATCATATGACCTGGAAATACTTATACAGCTGTGCAGTGTTCCTTCTGCTCACAACCTAAAAGAAAACTAGATACATTACAGCTAAAACTCATACTGTAGTAACTTCAAAACAATCGCAAAGTTTCCTATCAATCTGGTTAAAGATTAAAATTGCAAGTGTTTCTAAAACTTAAATTAAAGCTCTAATTTAATATTTTCTTTTAACCCAAAGAAATTGAAGACAAAGCCCCTAATCCATACAGACCTGGTGGAATTTCTGCTTTGGCACTAGTAGGACGCCATGCCAGTACTCTTATGGAAGCATTTCTCTCTGCACCATGGTTGTCTTTAATATACTATAAGCACATATATTAATAAAAAACAATTAAAAGTATTTCAGTTGGATCATAACTGCGTTATTCAAAATTGGAACTATTCTTCATTATTCTCTAATTCCTGTTTTAGTCTGGCTCTTCTAACAAGTCAGCAGATTGCCATGATGAATAGCTGATTTTTGATTTCTTGCTAGGCTAAGTAACTCTTGTTGCTCTGTTTTAATTATTTTGCCAATTTCATCTGCTGCCATAAAACTAAAAACTAACATGTACAGGCAGACGAGTTTGGACCATTTTTGTCACTTGAAGGAGCAATCTAGTATGGCAATGACACTGTTTTACAGAATATAGTATTTTCCCTCAGAGTTTTACTGAATATTGGAAACCTACTGCTGAACAGTAATTTTTCCTTTACGTATGGCTCAAGCCTCTAGGGCTGAGCAGTCTGCTAAACACCACAACCACTTGTTTCATCCTTTTGTAGGATCAGACTTTTGCTGTGACACAGAGCCTTCAAGTAACTGACATCTAATTTAACATACAGCTCTACTAGAAATATCACCAAACATCTACAGACAAACCTGTATCAGTTTCTACAAGTTTAAACCCTATAAAACTATGCTATGTAATCAGATCTCTGAGTGATTATGTTCCTCCTGCATTTGTGAAGAGGCGTTGAGAATATATTGGTTTTGATAAAACAGCATAGAAAACCTGTTTGGGCTTGCCTACAAAGGTCTTTGCAACATGAACACACCTACACTTAAGAGTGCCATTCCCATTTCAAAGATGAGACCTGAAAATTCCAGGTCAAAAGTTTACTACATCTTTTGCAATAGGCAGTTCTGTATCTAGCCATTTATACAACAAAGTGGTAAGCGCTGGTGCTGGCCATTTACATATATTACAGATTTGCACACCCACTCAAAACAGATGCATACACAGTCAAAATTATCAAGTAAAACATTAACAAAGTGCCAAAGGACTCAGTAGTGTTAACTCCATGGAAATAAGCACAGCAGGCAGGAAACAAATCCTGAATCCTATTTCTCGTTTTATGCTGGCTCTCTGTGTGGCCAAAGACACGCTACTCAGCTGCAGCTGTCTCATCTGTAAATGAGCAGAATACCATAAAATTCAGTACTTGCTAGGAGGACTTGTAAAATAGACATAACTTGGTAAAGCACATTTCTGCTTTGCCTTTGCTTTCATTAAACACTAAATTTTTTAAGGTCAGAGGAGGGATTTTTAGACAATTTCAGACACTACTAACTAGTGGTTCTAACTACTTAGCAGGAGTTAGTAAGATGTACTTTTTTGTTTATGTAGCATTTTGAAAGCAAGTTAAAATGTAAATTCAGAGTACTATGAGAGTGCTTTTTCACTTCCTTCAAATTTTCAGCCTGAGCACTTCTCTCACAAAGAGCAGCATCCCATAGTTGGGTAGGACTTCCAATTAAAACACAAAGAATCATGAAAATGGGACCATTTCAAACCATTCTAGCCAGACTCAGAGCTGTGGGTTTAGGAGATGGCAACTTCTGTGGTCTTTTCTCCTTCTTCGTAAGCACATTTGAGTCTCCTTCTGGTATAAATGGATTAACAGACTGATTTACCGAACGTTGCTTCAAGGATTCCACTAGGAATGCACACTGAAATGGAAGTTCACATTGTTTAGAAGAAGGCAATAGGATGCATACCAAGACAGATTGGAAGATGATGAACCAAGTATATGCAACTACTAAATGATAACAAAATATTTTAAAATTCCATTGAATATCTACCGATTCTTTTTAAAAATACTTTTGTGACTTGGACTTGCATGCAACAAGGCGCTGAGACCTCTGGACCTACACCTTACTGTGTGTATCTTTCTAATCACACTTTTGTAAGAAGCAACAACTGTACTGCCAGGCTGGCTATATTGCCTCAGTCACTTTGTTAGATACCTTTGGAAAAACTCCTGTGCATGTCATATGGAGAGATATGGTCTCGTTCTGCAACCTAAGTACACTTCAAAACCCAATTGTTTTAGAATTGAACAAATGTATTGTGCCAATGACAACTCCTTCCTCCACTGTCACTTATAGGAACATATTATATATTTTTTATATAATATATATATAACTTTAAAATACATTTATTTTTATATATAAAATTATAATGAACAATTAATTCTACTTGAGAAGAATTCATCATGGGATTGGCAACAAAAAGAAGAATCCTTTTGACTATAAAGTCCTAGTATTTTGTAAGGAATCATGGCTGCTCCAACACCAATCACTGCAGTGCTACTGTACAACGGCTTTCTAGTCTGTATTTGCTGAAGAGTGACTATTCTCACACTCTAGAGTATTCCTGCCCACCTAACAAGGATTTTAATTTTATCCAATCTTCTGCATTGTCAGCTAAACAGACACCATGGAATGTTTCTCTAAAGAAAAACATTACTTAAAAAGATACATGTAATTCATACCTTTTGGGAGTAGTTGTTTGCTTTTTCCATTTCAGACACAATAACAGTGATATCATCACTTTCAAAAATACCTGATAATCAAATATATGCTAATCAGTGCGGGCTGTTTTTTTTTTTTTTAAGTGAACAAAAAATTTACACTTTAAGTGTAAAAAATACATCTTTTTTTAAAGTGTACAAATTGTAGAGCATGCCAAATTTAAATTAAAAGAATCAAAAAGCCTTTGGTTCCAGTATGCCAGGCAGTCTGGACATACCACATTAGGAACTATATTTTAAATGTGCATCTTTAAAATATCTAGCAGAAAACAGTGAATTCAAATAAGGAAAAAAAAAAAAATCAAATTCCTGCATTAAGGCTGCATTATAATATTCTGCAATACAACTGAAAGCCTTAAGCAAACTAGGACCTCTGTTTTTATCTCAGTGTTAGTATAGCATTATCACATCCTAAAAAGTAAACTACTTGATTTGGGGGAGAAACACATTAATAAGTATTTTTTTCATTAATGAAAAAGAAGTATGTGATGACTTTCCTTTTCACATACCTGCTTCTCCAAACCAATGAAATCTCCCATTGGCTGCCTGTACTATTTCTTTAAAAGCAATGGCAGTTTCAGCTGGGTTAGCATAGCGAGCTGGAATAATCCCATTGGAGTCAACGTCCTCCATTACGCTAAACAGACAGACATGAAGCTGCAAATCAAAACCTCTGCAAACCTCAGCCACGTAAGCACTGATTGTGTGCTGCAAGACAGAGAAGAAAAAAAGCAAGAAAAAAAAAAAAAAAGTCAGTATTGTCTCTACCTCAGACGAGCTTCCATCTGCTCCACTGGTTCCTAAACTGATGTACAAACATGCACAACCTGAGCAATTCACTACAGGAACATACCCTGAGTAGCTGAATGCCTCCTCAAATCACACATATACACAAAACCTGTCACTATTACTAGTGACAATGGCAAGGGCATTGCTGCAGCCATGAAGTGAGATGGGGTAGCTACGGGAATCAAAGACACAAGGTCATGGACTTCAAGGGTAGCCATGCACTGAAGCAAAGAAGTAAGGATGGAACTATTCATTTGCCTTTTTGTACGTATCCTTCGTTTTCTTGTTATCCACACAGGTTTTTAACGACTTTTTAGAATTCCCAGAAGTTTAGTAACAAAGAGACACCCTACTATGGACACATAGTTATTCCAGTTGGATTACGGTATGTTTGAAAACTCTAGGCTGTGCCCATGGCTTAACAGTGACAGAGCACATGCACTACAAACATATATCCAAGCAATGGATTACTGTTACTAAAAATAGGAGCTGTCTCTACATAGTCATGGAATCACTGAGGTTGGAAAAGACCTCCAAGATCATCAGTACTATACTATGGAGTTCCACCATAAAATTATTTGTGGCTTTGTTTCCATGAGTTATAAGGAAATGAGATCACATGAAAAACTGGAGCTGGTTTGTTCAAACTCAGAAATTTGAGGTGAAGTGATGGCCAGAGTAGGAAAGGAATCCTAAAAACACCCCTTGAATTTTCTATGGTTCACGCATTATTAATTGCTACCTCCAACACAAGAATAGCAGTTGCAGAAATGGAAGTTTGAGATCCTGATAGCTGTGCTGTTTTAGATATGTAAAGGAGAAGCATTCTGCCAACAAGCTATGGTGACTAGCCAAAAGAAAAAAAAAAAAAAAGTTGAGATTAATTCTGATGGGAACTTACAGAAGAGTTGCAAAACCTGTGATACTTACGGTTTCCTGATCAGGTATTCCAGTAGTCAGCAGGTAAAGCCCTTGTGATTTGTGTTTATCTTTGTCTTTGAAGTCTATTTCCACAGCCCTCCTGAGAGCACTCATGAAGTTCCTACTCCCTTTGCACTGCAAGCTCAACACCCACCTAAAAGAAGATGATTACAGTTCAAAGAATGGAGCAACAAAAGTTTTTTTTTTTTTGCTTAAAGCAATAAAGAGAACTAAGAATCTTAAAGAACACTGCATTGGGGTCTAAAATTTTTGACAATGACAGACAGCAAACCAGATTATATAATGACCCAAATTATTTGTTCTAGTTTCTGTACTGTCACCATGGCAAACTAGTTTTAAGATAAGATTCAGAGCATAGAGATGAAAGAATTCCCTCTTCATTTCATATAGAAAAAATGTAATAGAGTAGAACTTACAGGACTAAAAATGAAACCACAGAGCTATAATGAAACCACTGAGGGTGTGACTCCACAAACAGAAACCTGTGATTTGGTTCCAGTGTATGTGGGGAAAAAATGTAGTTTAGTTTTCACATCCCATCTGAATCTGATGCAGTTTTCAATTCATGTAACCTGTGCATTTCTTACACAGACACTTCTGTATCTGTGCACATATATGTTCTGTATACATATGAAACAAAGTCATTAGGACTTATTAAACTTTATAACTCTGTTTTCACAATAAACTATCACAAACCATCACAAGCAATCACTGTAGAACAGTTCATGGCAAACTATTTTTGTAATATGATAAATTTATGAATTTTGTACATTGTTCACAATGCTGTTTAAATCAGCTTCTCTGTTTTATCTGTTTCATGGCATCTACAATCACTTAATTCAGATGTATGGGAAAGTTATTTGATCCTACCTCCAAGCATTCTGTAAGTTTTCTGGCTGGGAAGGAACCAGTTCCAGCTGCCAAGCCACAACATCACTCCCAAAGCTTGCACAGAAAGATAACAGCAATTAATTTTCAGACTATGCTTTAGAACAAAAAAAAAAATATAGAGCAAACTCACTGAAAAATAAAAATCTGTTTTGGGGTATTACAGATGTAAAATTGCCCGATTTGCTATTTTCTATTTCAAACAATTTAATTATTCACATTTATCCACCACTCAGGGGTTGTCAGATTTTCAAGGCAGTGGGTCAGACTACATTTTTCTTTCCTGAACAGCATACTAAGTGAGCTGGTAAAACTCAGCAGAAGGATTGTGACAAAACCACCCCAAACCCTCAGATGCTGCCTGTATCTCTCTTGTGAGGTAACAGATCTGCTTTCCCACCAGGTTTGGAACTCCATGAGCTGCTGTCTCTTGCTTTTACCTCCCATTCAGAAACCCGCCCAGCTGCTGTTCAGCAGACATGCCATACATTTCTGACTACAAGTGTTGAGTACAAAATTTTAGTACTATTATATATTAAAAAAAGTATTGGAGTTACTATAAAATTTAAAGGGTGTTCTCAGTTTTGGTACCTGAGACACCTCCAGAATCCTCTTCCACTGAAAGTTTCTGACATGTGAACTGACACGGTTATGAACAGTATAGTGGGAAGAGAATTTCATGCAGGTATGATGAAATCAGTTTCAGTGAGCCTCACCCAAAACACTGATTTTTAATTACTAATCTGGCCTCTCTACATCTGATCCATACACCTATCCAAAAATGATAAATCAGTGCTATTCCTTCATCATAAAATTTTCAATGCAAGTAAAAAATCTAACATATGCCCATTAGTAACTACAATCTCTCAGTATATTTCTTTCATTGCAATGTGTTACAATTATTTTTAAAGAGTCTTAAACAGTTGCTTACGCTATAATATTGAAGTAATCCTTATCTGACATTTGTTCCTCAAGTAAAAGCCGCAAAGAATGTTGGATATGGATGATACATGTGGAGTTTGTCACCGATATATCAACAAGTATAACCACCCTATATAAGAAACATGTTATTAAAAAAAAAAAAAAATCTTATTTAATTACATATCTTCACTGCACTCTAACCCCCCAGGGAAAGTATCTTCTAGATATGTATCAAAATAGATAAACACTGAATCTATATTTAAAAAATCTGCAAAACATAAGGTGAGATTTTGTCCTGGTTTCGGCTGGGATAGAGCTAATTTTCTTCATAGTAGCTAGCATAGTGCTGTGTTTTGGATTTAGTACCAGAAGAATGTTGATAACACACTGATGTTTTCAGCTGTTGCCAAGTAGTGCTCAGGCTACTCAAGGACTTTTTGAGCTTCTCCTGCTTGCCCAGGTGCATAACAAGCTGGGAGTACAGCACAGCTAGCACAGCTAACCCAAACTGACCAAAGAGCTATTCCATACCATATAACGTCATGCTTGGGGGGGGGGCGGTTAGTTCGGTCGGTCGGTCGGGGGGAGA